TTGCTATTATGGGTAGATTTTTTAAAGTACAATGTCTTAATAAAAAATAATTTAAAAGTACATTGCTGTAATAAAGAAAAACAAAAGTAGAATGCTATAATAAGAAATTTTATGAAAGTAGGTTGCTATTTCATGCATTTAATCCAAAAGATAATTACTAGTATATAACATTAGTTTTTTTTTATTAACCTGGATATCCAACCCGCTATGCTAGCCGACTAATTCTAGGACGACCACCTGCTTTGCAGATAGCCCGGAGTCACTGCATTTGAACCTCCGTGGCCACAAGGGGATTTTTATTCCTCCTTGGTTTTGAAACTGAGACCTCCTGATACTTTTAGAAAATTATTTCGTAACTTATTATAATTGAAAAAAATTACATGATAATAAGTACACAATTATAATTATTCCTAGTACATACATCCAAACAATCTATTAAGCATGGATCCATGTTTTTCTCTGAAGGTTACAAACTAGGGATTAACTGTTATTCAACAATTAAACTTTTTAGTTTAATCGATCTTGTATTTAATTGAATAATTTGAAATACATTATCATATGAAAATGTCATCAGTTCAGTTCATAATATCCACATACACACACACACACACACACACATATATATATATATAGAGAAGTATTCATATGAAAACCGCCCTCATTTGTGTAAACCGTGCAAACCACCTTCATCTGTCGATTTCATTGTTTAATCTTATGAAATTTTTTCATGAAAATTGTTTAATCTTGTGAAATTGTTTTATATAATACTTTTTTTGATGAAGTTGTTTCATATATGGTTGTGAAATTGTTTCATATAATACTTAATGAAACTGTTTCATGTATTTCTCTAACATTAATGAAACTGTTTCATGTATTTCTCTAACATTAATGAAACTGTTTCATGTATTTCTCTAAAATTAAAATAATGAAGATAATAATATCTATGATTAATACCCTCCACAATAAAAATGATTAATCAACCTCTCATAATTACAAAAAAATGAACAAAATGAAAAATTATGATTGGTTGAATGCGGTTTGCATGGTTTGTACAAATTGAGTGGTTTGCATTTGATCGCTCCCCTATATATATATATATATATATATATATATATATGGAGAGAGAGATATGGATGATTAAACGAGAACAAGGTCAACATAAAAGAACACGATAATGATCAAATCACATGTGATTTTGCATTGAAATCACATGCAATTATGGAACACGATTAATGCATGGGTACACTTATGCCTTGGCGTATGATCTAGGCTGCGGCGTAATCACATATGATTTTACATGTAAGTTTAGTGAAAACGCACGCGCTATGACTGTTCTCATGTTATATTACTTGTTAATTGTTCTTGTTTAAATCCGTCTCTTTCTCTCTCTCTCTCTCTCTCTCTCTCTATATATATATATATATATATAGGCCTATTCAAGGAGAACTGATTAGTTGGTGGTAAATGTGAGATCCAATCTCAACCACAAATCAACAGATAAATTAGGAAATTAATAATTATGGTAGTTTGAGTTAAAATTATAATTAGAGGGAATTTTAAGTATTTTTAAAAAACTCCTCTCTCCGACCTCCAATCTCCGGCCTCCGATAAATATTAATCCGGCAGGTACCAAGTAATCACAAAGATACACAATGTAATACCCATTGTGATATACTGTGATACAATTGTGATACCAACTATGATACCAACTCAAACCTTAAAAACAAAGATACACAATGTGATAMCCATTGTGATATACTGTGATACCGATTTCACCGGAGGCCGGAGATTGGAGGTCGGAGAGAGGAGATAATAGTTTTTTAAAAATAACTAATATTCTCTCTAATTATAATTTTAACTCAAACTACCATAATTATTAATTTCGTAATTTATCCGTTAATTTGTGGTTGAGATTGGACCTCACAGTTACCACAAACTAATCAGTTCTCATTTGATTACGCCCCTATATACATATATGAGTCCGTGTGTGTGTGTCTTAAAGAGAGAGAGAGAGAGAGAGAGAGAGAGAGAGAGTATGTATTCATGATTTACGTATGTGTGTATAAAGTTTACATGTCTAGAAACTATTCTAAGTTAACAAAGTTTAAAATTATTTAAAGAATTTATACATTCCGATTCTTTTTGCCATTTATTCTAGAATATAGATGGAATGACGAAGTTTGGGATGAGTTAACAAGTATCATGGCAGATAAAAATCTCATGTCCCAAATTCTCACATCCTGTTTATGTCCAACAATCACAAAAATACACAAAATCAAAGAAATCATGTGATATGAATTAAATAAATTTAAAATAAATAAAAAACGATTTATCATAATTTCATTGGTTGCGAATGAACAAGACTTGAGATTTTAGGTTCTCACAAACTTGATACTTGTTTCCTCTTATGGTTTAATTTTCACAAACCTGAACTCAACACTTGTTTCCTCTTATGGTATAATTCTCACAAACCCAAAAGACCCGTTGTCCACTCGCATTGTTTATAAGCCCGAGAAGATATCATTTTGCTCTTACGGCAAACTCCATGCGGATCATCACAGTTTCACGATGTCCTGCGCTGTTCCTATATGTATCTCGGTATATGACTCCACATATATAGTCAAAACAATAGTCATGCAAAACTTAACTTCAAAAAATATACGGATACACGTATGGTATACATAAAATATGGAAGACATTAATCCTAAACATATGAAGCCTGAAGCATGTAACATTCTTATACTATTTGCAATTACTGAAACATCACAAATGAGTATATCCTAGTTTGGGAAGATCTCAAGAAATCTGACATCAAATTTGTGTAGACTAGGTTGAACTTTCTTGCATGCCACCTACACAAACTAATACATGATTTCAGAAGCCAGCTTTGAAAATGAAATAGCCGTGCCAAAATGTGCTAAAAAGGCCACATGATTTCAAAAGTTAGTTTGTGCTCGAGTTCTGAACTCGTGTCATGTCACGTGTGATACAAAATTTCACAACTGACTTGCAACTCACCTATAGTTTCAGCTGACACACCATCTCTGCAACCTTGTATGCAAGTTCACACAACTCATGTCTTAGGGTCGCCTAAATCTACTAGATGCCAACTTTGGGAACTAGATGCATATTCCAACCTAAAAAGTCCTCATTTTCTCGTACATAAATACTCTTGACATGCACGACTATCCATAAACATTGATATAACTGGTTTTTGTTTCATGTTTTCAATAGCAACACACCCAAGACTTTGTTGGACAACTCAACAGCCTTACGGCCTCATTCTCCACATTAAATCCTTTCCCAGTATCACATAGTACTGATCGAATGATAAAACACTTCAATGTAGAATCCATATCTTGAATCTAATGATTTTAGCTTGAAACTTTCTACACCTACTTCATTCCCCAACTCTCTCTCCTTGAATTGTTCAAACAAATGTTCTACTTCAATCCACAAGTTCATCTAAATTCCAAATCAGCCCTTGTACTTGTTTACTTACTTGACTTTATCAAAAATCATTTATTTAAAATTAAAAAGAACAAAAAAAAGGATGAGGTGGGATAGGGGACAAGTGCTATAAGCCAAAGGTTGGCAACACCCACACGCGGGGGCTCTTTATATAAATAATACCCCTTTCTGTCTCCTAACTAATTTATATGTAATCATTTTTATTTTTAATCACCAACAACTTATAATTCACTTCTCAATTTCTTTACTATTTAAATATTTTTTTTTCCTTAAAGAAAAGAATTTTGAAAAAATGGAGTTCAAATATATATATATATATATATATACATATATATTTATATATATATATATATATATATATATATAAAGGTGAGTTATTATTCAACCTTTACATTTGTACAACCAATACAACTCAATCTCAACCGTCCATTTAATTTGATAAATATATAATTTCATAAAAATTTTAATTGTTTTCGAATATAAAGTATTAATCATAATTAACGAACCCTAGTCATCTTTCATAAATATCTCAATTGATTGAGTTGCATTGGTTGTACAAATGTGATGAGTTGTATTTGAAACGTACTATATATATATATATGTGTGTGCGTGTGTGTGTGGGGTATATTTCAAATGCAATTATGTCAATTTATACAACCAATGCAACCTAATTAATTGAGATATTTCTGGAAATGATGAAAATTCATTTATTATGATTTGAATATTTATAGAAAATGACTAGAATTTAATAATTGTGATCAATACTTTATATTAGGAAACAATAAAAACTTTTATAAAATCACATATTTATCAAATTAAATGGACGATTGAGACTGAATTGTATTGGTTGTATAAATGTAAAGGGTTACATAATGAATCACCTCTTTTTCTCTCTCTCTCTCTCTATATATATATTGTATATTTTGATAGCATAAATATCTTTGGAAATTAACTTCATTTACCTATTTATGGAATTACTAATCAATTTACGAATTTCAGTTGAAATTAAATGGATTTGATTTCTATAAATAATTTTTTAAATCTTTTTTAAGTTTAGATTTATTTGGTTTGTGTTTATAATCGTAAATTCAGACTCTATTGACAAATTAATAAAAAATCAGATACCAAAATAAACATATTTAATTTGAAATATTTAAAAAAAAAAAAACAAAGACTTGACAATAATATTGTGGTTATTAGGAAGATATAATTTCAAAGGATCTAAATGCCCTATAAATGCGTACCTTCCCGTTGGCGGCATTCCCATCGTCCCCCACCCCACACCTTCTTTCAACATTTCTTGAAACACACACTTGAAAGTGTTGTGCGCGTGTTTTTTGATCCACTCTCCACTTTCAATTCCGACACCCCCAATTTTCCGGTCATCTTCCTCTGCCGTTCTGAGATAGTAACTCCGATTTCATGCCACTTACCTCTTTCTATCCATTTCTTTTGTGACGATTCACTCCTGTAATTCGCTTAATCTTTCAAACGGTTTTCGATTTTTGAATACTTGAGTTTGGACAAGTATGAATTCGTATGGTTTTATGGACAGTATTCAAGTGGAGAAGGCCAATGCGCTTGCTAGATACAAGCGGTTTAACAACATTTCAAAAATGTTTAGATTGATCGAACTTTTCGTCGCCGTTGCTTTGATTTCGTGGTCGTCGACTCGTCTTTCTACAGTTGTTAAAGTATCCGGCGAGTATCTGTACGCCTCTTTGTCTTACGTATTGAATCCACACTTCGTTTTTCTTGTCGGAAACGTTATTGTTGTTCTTTGTTATGTGCTCTCCGGTCACACGGACGTCGGTCACGAATCTGCTAGTCCGGAAATCTCCGACGATAATAAGTATAGATCTCTGAATCATCCTCATAAAACAAACGAAATCTCTTCCAATGCAGATCTGGTGGAAGAATTTCCGGATATGAAAAAGGCAGCCACCGAAGAAATTCAAGATACGGTGGTTCGTTATGAGAATCCGATCGTGAAAACCGAATCAGAAGCGGCGGCGGCGGAAACGGCAATCAAACAGGCTGCGAAACAGATTGAGAGATTTCAGCGGACACAATCGGCCAAGTTGAAGCGAGAGATTTCAATGAAACCTGAGAGAGAATTGAGGAGGTCAGTGACAGAGAGGCGGAGGAGGTCTGTCGTCAGCGCGGACGACATAGACTCAAGGTCGTCGTCACCGGTGGAGAGGCTGAGCAACGAAGAGTTCCGTCTTGCCGTTGAGGCTTTCATCTCGAAGCAACAGAGCTTTCTGAAGCAGCAGACCATGGTTGAAAACTCATATTATCAGTAATTATTAATAATTAATTATTAATATCCATATTAGTGAAGGAAAAGTCACTGTTTCATCTCCCTACTTCTTAGATTCTCTCTTATTTTGAAAAGGAAAAGGAATCTTTGTATATTTTAGGAAATAAATATTATTCTACTTTCAAAATTATATCGTAATTTTATTTTGTATCGACTTAAATTATAACTTGATCTTTATGTTAAGGTTTATGATTTCAAATATGTTTGATATACGGGATGTTTGAGATTGTTTATAAAAATAATTTATTGATTTATTCCGATTTAACACTGGTAATAAGCACTTTTGAGTGTTTGGAGAAAAAAACTTATACCGGTGCCAAACCGGTAATAAGAAGTTTTTGAAGAACTTAAATCATTTTAACTTATAATTAGTTAAAAAAAACTTTTATAAAAAAATATAAGTCATTTCAAATAAACAATCTCAAACACCCCCTTAAAGTAAATCATGACTATCATTTAAATTGCATATGTTGTTATCCTAACTTTTGGTTCTAGATACATTTGGCATGGGAATAGGGCGGGATGAGACGGAGACCTCAATTCCCGTCCTTGTCCCCATCCCCGTAGGGGAATATAATCACATCATCATTTTCATCCCCAACGGGGAACGGGGATCCCAACAAGGAAATGATGATTTTTTCCCTGTTTATTTAAGTTATTTTAAATTAAATATATGAGAGACCATACATGTTTAAATCTCAAACATTTTCAATAACCTAAAACCAAAATGAATTTAATTTAATACAAAAAAAATCACAAAGCCATATAAGAACTAATAACTTAAAACAAAAATCAATTTAAACAAATAAATGTAATAATTAAGCAGCTTTTGAGTATAAAGTCGAAGCAATCCAAAATACAAACAAATAACATATTAGAAAACAAACAAATTAACAAACATATTAGAAAACAAACAAATTAACAATGTTACAACTCTACTGTGAGTATTGAGTAACAAAATTCACGACTTCACAATCTTCAATGGTTCAAATTTCAATTCTTGAGTCTTGAGTTCTTGATCAAACAAAATAGAAGTCAAATCTAGGTTGGTTGAATCACTTGGTTGATGTCTTGATGATGTGCGCCGAAATCAAACCATGGATTAGAAAGATCAATAGATTGATGGAGTTCTTGAGAGATTTCAAAATTTGGAGACCGTCAAKATCAAATGTGTCGATATGTTCAATGGTTTAATGGTTTTAGTCGTCGATTTTGATTATGTTAGATGTTAGGCTTAGAGGTATATTTGGGTCATAGCCAATAAGTTAAAAAAGTTTGGCTTGCTAATATTAAAATAGATATATATATATATATATATATGTATGTATATATGTATGTATATATGTATGTATGTATTTGGCGGTCGGTTTGGTCCAAATCGTCCAAAAAAGGTTTCAAACCGCAGACCTGACCAAATCGCCCGGTTTTACTATTTTCCAAACCAGACCAGACTGGCAGACCGCTCAAACCGCCAAAAACGGTCCGGTTTGACTTGATTTGAACGGTCCAACGGTTTTTTTGAACACCCCTAATATTTACCCACGTTTAATCTCCAAAACTTTTAATTATTTATGTATTAGTTAAATAGTAAATTTATTTTAAGACAAATATAAAAAAAATATAAAAACTTATTTTTAAACGAAAGTATATTTGTGTTCATTATCTTACAAGATGCTATACGTTGTTAGTTATGACATCCATTTATCAGAACATAAGAGTTCAAAGTGTGTATGTCGGTAGACAAAAATTATATGAAAACGAAAGATATTTTGTTTTGGTTCCTCTTTATTCGAAAGAACGTGTTATATTTTTGATGTAATTAAGGGAATATATTATAGTTTGTGATTATAAAACAACATATTATAATTTTATAAACAAAAATATTATTATTCTTTTTATTAAATATTCTTACTTGAAATGTTTTTTAATAGAGATCAAAACAGAGTTTTTGATAGTAGATTTCCCAAAAAGAACCAAAACCTTGTATCCGAACTGTACATAATGTCAAGTATGATTTAGAGTTGCAATGCATTTTTAATGACTGATAAGTAATTGGTGTTTTAATACATGTATTTTTTTGATATAGTTAAGAAATGTTTAATAGAGTAAATTACATTTTTGGTCTTTATTGTTGTTATTTACCATCAATTGTAGTCTCACTTTCAAACTAATTACAGTTTTAATCACTATGATTGTCAATCTGTTTCACTTTCGGTTTCTCTGACTAACTTTTGTTAAAAAAAAGAAGTAAACTACAAATTTGGTCCCCTAGTTTGTTGAAAATAACACTTTTCATCACTACAAATTTGGTCCCCTAGTTTGTTGAAAATAACACTTTTCATCTCTGCAGTAAAAATAGATAAGTTTAAAAATAGTTTTATTTAAAAGTATTAAAATGCATCTCATTTAGTAGATTTTTTTTAATGGCCGTTAAAGAGAGGGACCAAATTTGCAAGAACGAAAAGTATTATTTTGGCATTGTGAAGACCCAAAATCCGATCTTTATCTTAACCTCAAATCATTAATAAAATTCAACCTTAAAAATTGAAAACTTACATAAAATACTGGATTGAAACAGTTTAAACATAAATCACAAAGGAAGTCTAAAAATTTCTTCTGATCATACAGCAATTGCTTAAACCCATAACTAACTACTCTTCGTCAAGATAAGTCACGACTAGACTTCATTTCAAGTCTATCCTCTTCACGCGTAGCATGGCACTACGCCCTCTCTTTGCCCTTGCTACTATTCCCATAAGTGTAGTAACCTGGTTGCATTTTTTATTTTGAAAAAAAACACGAGTTTGGTGAGCCTAAGGCCCAGTGAATAAACGATTTACACACAGTTCATAAACTACCGAAAACATGAGGGGGGAAAGGACTATATCACACAGCATTGCCTGGCGAACTTCACACAGCATGTTCGCTCTTACGGCTTAACAAGCTTCACACAACGTGCTTGTTTTCATGATTAAATCCTTAGTACAGTCCCCCCAAGTTTCCCACACAGCATTTTATCACAGAAAACACGTTCACACAGCAAACATATTCATAAAATACAACAAGCTTGCAATTTAACAGAAACAGATATGCAACCCTTAAAAAAATATCACATAAACTCACCGTGATTGATAGCTTCGAACGTTTGTCTGATGAACGTCACACACACAACTCTTGATTATCGATTCTCTGCTTTCGCCTTCTAGCTCTTGAATACCTTTATTTGCTAGTAAGGAACCAATCTCTAGCTCATCACCTCTATATATACTCTTCGTAACCTCCTTATGAATTAATTACCACTTAATTGGTTGGTTACAAGGCAATTAATACCATTTTAAAAAACCCAATTTATTCCTTTATAGCGGTTACGATTCTAGGCCATAAATAGTTCTAACAGCCAAAATAAAAAAAAAAACATTAAGTAAGATTCTCAAAAAACCTCAAATAATATTTTAAGTTATTACAAACTCCCCCCTTAACAAAATTTCGTCCTCGAAATTTGCTTTATGTAAATAAATGAGGGTATTTTATTCTCATCTCACTCTCTGTCTCCCACGTTGCCTCTGGTCCCTTATGATGTTTCCATTGGACTTTGACCAAAGGGATTTCTTTATTCCTTAACTTCGTCACTTTTCTATCCAAGATAGCTTCTGGCCTTTCTACGTAGCTCAGAGTCTGATCCACCTCTATATCTTCCAGAGCTACCTTAGAGCTCTTATCTGCCAAACACTTTCTCAGAGTTGACACATGAAATGTGTTATGGATGCCTTGAAGCTCTTCAGGCAATTCCAGCTTATATGCAACCTCACCCACACGTGCTGTTATTCGATAAGGGCCAATATAACGAGGCCTCAGCTTTCCTCGTTTCCCAAATCTTATTATGCCCTTCCAAGGCGAGACTTTCAACATTACTCTGTCTCCAACTTGAAACTCTATTGGTTTTCGCCTTTTGTCGGCATAGCTATTTTGTCTATCTTGAGCTATTTTCAGCCTTTCCCGAATCTGCTGAATTTTATCAGCCATTTTCTGCACAATTTCTGGGCCCGAAAGTTGCTTTTCGCCCACTTCATTCCAGCACAGGGGTGTTCGACACTTCCTCCCATACAAAGCTTCATATGGTGCGACTTGGATACTCGCATGATAGCTGTTGTTATAGGAGAATTCTATTAAGGGAAGATGACTTTCCCATGACCCTGCAAAGTCAATAGCACATGCCCGCAACATGTCTTCCAGCGTTTGGATGGTCCTTTCACTCTGACCATCTGTCTGCGGGTGGTATGCTGTACTAAGCTTTATTTGAGAAACCAACTTTCTTTGGAAGCTTCGCAAGAATGTAGATGTAAATCGACTGTCTCTGTCGGAGACTATTGATAATGGAACCCCATGTCGGGTTACAATCTCATCTATGTACAACTTGGCTAATCTGTCCATTGAGTAGGTCTTTCTAATAGGCAGAAAGTGGGCAGACTTGGTGAGTCTGTCCACTATTACCCATATCGCATCAAAACCTCTTGGTGTTTGGGGTAGTCACGAAATCCATGGTGATGTGGTCCCACTTCCACATGGGGATCTCCAAAGGTTGAAGTTTACCAAACGGTCGCTGGTGTTCAACCTTCACTTGCAAACAGGTCAAACATCTCTTAACATAGTGAGCTATATCTTTCTTCAACCCCGGCCACCAATACGATTTTCGTAAATCCCGGTACATCTTATTATTTCCAGTATGGATGGAGTAACGGGATTTATGGGTCTCGTCCAAAACTTGGCTACGAAAATTTCCCAAGTGAGGAACCCAAATTCTACCCTTATAACATTTTAGTCCATTACCATTGTTTTCCAGCAATGGACTAGCCCCCACCATCCTTTCCTTCCTTATGTTTTCTTCTACCAAGGCCTCCTCTTGGATTTTCTTCAGGTCTTCAATCCAGCTAGTGGTGACCTCCATCCTTAGAGCCTTAACACGTAGTGGAGTACCCATTTCTT